ACAATTTTCAGGTGATATTGTAGAAAGTGTTTTTAAGTTCAAAGAATCTTCTTTACTTTTTCTTGATTTAGCAAGAGGGCCTTTCAATGTTGTAGATGCGTTTGTTTTTAGATGCCTCAATTGAATCATCTTCCATACATCTGCTTCGATTTTAAGGGTGCGTGATGATGTCACGACTATAAGAGTTTCTATGTTCCAAAGGCTAGAAAGGGCTGAAGAAAGTACTTTGAAGTTGCTGGAGAGAACAAGATACCTCAAATGTACAAGTTGAGTAAGGTCAACAGGAAAATGAGCGAAATGGATGGGTTTACCATCTAACACCCTGAGCAATTTAAATGCAGCAGGGACGGAAGAATTTTGCTCATTTTCCAACGTTATTTCTTCATGGGCGAAACACAAAAACGACCGAACACGTGGATCAGTTGGTTTTGAACAGATATAGTTCGAAATTCTGGAATTGATGGAAAGGAGACAACATTTTTCGGAGTCAGGGTTGGAAGATGAATAAGTACCTTGATTAAGCTGTGTAATTTCGATGAAAAAGCTTTCTTGTGCAGCTCATTTCTTGCAAAACACTTGTAGTATGTCGTGAATATGGCATGTTTTAACTTTGCCTTTTAACCTCGTTTGCCCAACCACGACTAAATTCCTGATGAAATCCTCCAAGTACTCTTCAGCAATATCCTCTGGGCTCATGCTCATTCATTCACTCTGTTGTATAAATCCTTCAGCGATCCAAAGGCAAAGCAATTTCCACGCCGGAATTTGGAAGTCTACAGGAAATATCCCAAAGTAGAGAAAACATGTTTTCAAGTGATAGGATAAATGATCAAAACTCATTTATATAAAATGGTCCATTTTTTTCTCCTCGTCCATGTTAATAAATGCCTCACACTTTTAGCAACTTTTTTCCACGAATTGCTTTCCTTACCTTTTCCTTGTAGAATTCCTCCAATCACCACTATTGCCAGTGATAGTCCTTTACATTTTTGGACAATACACAATTCGTGGTCTTTCAATTCGTTAGGGCATTCCATTAATCCAAGTGCCTTCCTTTGGAGTAAAATCCTACTTTCTTCTATAGTTAGAAATCGCAACTTATGGGGATCAATGCAGTGGCGGATCCAGAATTAGAAGTCAGCTAGGGTGGCTGTCGACCGTCAAAGACCAATAGCAAAGTCAACAACGTCCATACCATGACTAACAATGTTTTAAACAAAAATGAATCTTACATATCCAAGAACCTCCCAGCCCCTATCATAGATTCTATGAGAAATTATCCCCATTAACCCAACACTTCCTCCCTCATAAACCAAGTGTATCCTCTTATTAACATGTCATCAACATCCCTATAGCATAATAATCAGGTCGAACCCACTGTCCAAATAGAACCTTGACAAGAACAAAATCATGAGATGGTAAGATTATGCCCAATCTCAACAGTAAACTTAAATTAATAATTAGACACCACAAAGTCCAACAAGTTATTAAAAAAATATACCATCCATAATAAAAAATGCAAACAAAACCTGCAATGGAGTCTATGAAAATCCAGCAATTCATTGCCCAAATTAATAGCAGCATCACTAAAAACCTACAAAGGGATCCCATGAGCAAAACACAAGTCATTGTTTTGACATCAAAACACAGAACAATAAAAAATTATCATCAACCGTTGTTAAACCAAGATTAAAACATTCAAAGATTGACTAATAGGAACCCACCGATTCATTGCAGCCCAACTCAATAGCAGCATCACTGAAACTTTCCTGAGACTACTTCCATAGTACACAAATCTTCTTGAACTTGCCATCACTTTATGTCTTCTTGTATTATTTTTTAGGGCAAAGCAGGAATAGGGAGAGAGTGAGTTAGGGTTTGCCAGTTTGTAAATTGCGAGTGTTCTTTGATGCAAACCATTGGGCCAATTTTTTTTTTTTAAATAGAAGAGACACCAAAAGAAAAGGTCAAATCCACAACCGTTATCTTTTCAATTGAAGTCCCTGTGTCTGCCCTTCAAATTTCTTCACAGTAACCACCGACGGCGGCGATTGTAAATTTGGCGGATCCACCACGTACGGTCGCGCCCCCTCGTCAGGTGCTGGATTCGCCTCGGATTAATGTTGGGGTTGGCATACTAGCCACTTTCTCAATACGAGTAGTAAGTAAAATTCGACTCTTCTTCTTGTTTTCAGGAAACACAGTTTTAAATCATCCCAAGTCTTGTTAGTCACCACATCATCCATGACAATTAAATATTTTCCTTTCTTCAAAAATTTACGAAGTTCATCAGCTAATTCGACTTCATTCATGTCAGCTTTGCTAGGCTTAGTAAATTGTCTTAGAATATCATGAAGCACTTCTTTTCTACTATATCTTTCAGAAACAAATACCCATGCGCAATTGTAGAATTCAAACGCAACATCAGCATCGGTGTATATCATTTTAACCAGTGTTGTGTTACCAAGACCTACCAGGCAAACTATTAATATAACTTGTAGTTCATTAGGTCCTTCAGTGAGAAGTTGGTTACTTTTTCAACCTCATCTTCAAAGCCAGCAACGGATCCAGAATTAAAAGTCAGCTACGTCGGCTGTCGACCGCCGATGACCAATAGCGAAGTCAACTACGACCATTCAAATTGAAGTCCCTGTGTCCGCCCTTCAAATTTCTTCACATCAACCATCGACAGAGAAGAATTGTAAATTTTGGCGGATCCAGCACGCGAGGCCGTGCCCCCTCGCATAGTGCTGGATCCTCCACTTGATCAACGTTGGGGTTGTCATACTTAGCCACTTTCTCAATATGAGTAATAAGTAAAATTCTACTATTCTTATTTTCTGAAAACGCAGTTTTTAAATAATCCCAAGCCTTGTTAGTCCACACGTAATTTGTGACGATTAAATATTTTCCTTTCTCCAAAAATTTACTAAGTTCATCAGCTAATTCGACTTAATTCATGTTAGCTTTGCAAGGCTTAGTAAATTGTCTTAGCATATCATGAAGCACTTCCTTTCTACTATATTTTTGAGAAACAAATACTCATGCGCGATTGTAGAATTCAAACACAACATCAGGATTAGTATATATCATTTTAACCCGTGTTGTTTTTCCAAGACCTGTCATGCCAACTATTGATATAACTTGCAGTTTCTCAAGTCCTTCAGTGAGAAGTTTGGTTACTTTTTTGGCCTCATCTTCAAGGGCAGGGCCGGATCGAGGATTTGAAGTTAACTAGGCCAGCCGTCGACCGTCCACGACAAATAGCAAAGTCAACTATGCCCATTCAAATTTGAGTCCCTATGTCTGCCCTTCAAATTTCTTTATAGAAACCACCGACGGAGGCAATTGTAAATTTTGGTGGATCTAGCACGCGCGTTCAAGCCCCCATTCCCATCATTGGGTGTTGGATCCGCCACTCGATCAATGTTGGGGTTTGCATACTTAGCTCAATACGAGTACCATGTAAAATTCTACTTGTCTTCTTCTTTTCTGGAAACGTAGTTTTAAATCATCTCAAGCCTTGTTAGTCCACACATCATCCATGACAATTAAATATTTTCCTTTATCCAAAAATTTACGAAGTTCATCGGCTAATTCGACTTCATTCATGTCAACTTTACTAGGCTTAGTAAATTGTCTTTGAATATCGTGAAGCACTTCCTTTCTACTATATTTTTGAGAAACAAATACCATGCGCAATTTTAGAATTCAAACACAACATCAGGATCGGTATATATCATTTTAATCAGTGTTGTCTTTCCAAGATATGACATGCAAACTATTGATATACCTTGTAGTTCCTCAGGTCCTTTAAGTGAGAATTTTGGTTACTTTTTCGGCCTTATCTTTTAAGGAAGTGGCGGATTCAAAATTAGAAGTCAGCTAGGACAGCAGTCGACGACCAATAGAAAAGTCAACTATGTCCATTCAAATTGAAGTCCTTGTGTCCGCCCTTCAAATTTCTTCACAGCATCCACCAACAGAGGATAAATGTAAATTTTGTCGTATCCAGCATTGCAGGCTGCACCCCCTCGCTGCGTGCTGGATCCGCTACTGTATCCAGTACCTAAATTTCATCACAACATCTGCTGACGGAGGATAAATGTAAATTTTATCGTATCCAGCACGGCAGGCAGCGCCCCCTCGCTGGGTGCTGGATCCGCCACTGTATCAATATTGGAGTTGGCATACTTGGCCACTTTCTCAGCACGAGTAGTAAGTAAAATTCTACCCTTCTTCTTGTTTTCTGGAAACGCAGTTTTTAAATCATCCCAAGCCTTGTTAGTCCACATGCCATCCATGACAATTGAATATTTTCCTTTCTCCAAAAATTTACGAAGTTCATCGGCTAAATCGACTTCATTCATGTCAGCTTTGCTAGGCTTAGTAAATTATCTTTGAATGTCGTGAAGCACTCCTTCCTACTATATTTTGAGAAACAAATACATATGCGTGATTGTAGAATTCAAACTCAACATTAGGATCGGTATATATCATTTTTACTAGTGTTGTCTTTCGAGGACATGTCATGCCTAGGAGTGGGCAACAGGTCGGGTCGGGCCGGGACCTTTTTTACCCAAATCCGCCCCTACCCGAATTTTTCGATTTTAGCTATTTTCTAAGCCGAACCGTCCCGTTCATTATCAAGAACCGACCTGGTCCAATTTGGTTCAGGCCAGTTCAACAATTATTATTTTCTTTTTCTTTTTTTGATTAGTTTCAAACTGCCAACATTCAGTCTTTTCTCTTCTACTTTCAATTCACTCAATATCTCCATTTCAATTCAGTTTAGACCCCCAAGAAGATACATCTGATGAGTGCATTACCTCAAATTGATAAAGTTCCCTATGTCCACACTCAAAATCTAAAAATCTTGCCAAGGAAAATCCACCATCAATACATAATATAGGATCAGAAAAAAAAAAGATGTATCTTCTTGTATATGAATATATAATGAACATAAACTATAAATGATCATTTAAAATTCTCATTATCACTTAGCTCATCTTCAATGCTAGAAACATCCATGTTGAAGCTTGCTTTGCCCATTTAACAATCTTCTCTACCTCTCTACAGATCTCTTCCTCCTCCTTCATAGCCTTCATCATCATCATCTTTTTTTGACTTTTCAACGAAAAATTGCTCAAATCAGATAAAAACACATCATTCTTCCCCCAATCAAGGTCTATATCCAAACCCCTACGATGTTGTAGGAGGAAAATTCTCATTCTCAAACGTTGTTGTAGGCGATACCCAATTTTTACCATCTGGGTTTTTCTCCAACCCATTTTTCAGTTAATTTTGAACCCATTTTCTCCTCTGATTTTTCCTCTGAAAAATACACTTTAATTTCTGCACAGGGGTTAACCTTTTTGGCTTCATTTATCAGATTCCTGTTCTTGAATTCTGTGGTTTTTGAAGAATTGAAGGTTTCGGTTGACAAAAAATCGGACTTCAATTTCTCTACCTGGGAAAGATTTCAGCTTTTGTTTCAAAGTGAGATGGAAGATCATAATCATTGAAACCAGAGCAATTAATGGCAACAACTTGCTCAAGCACAGTAAGCAGATCAGGTGTCCTCATCTTTCGTCTTCAACGCTAATAGCTGGAGAGAAGAGCAGGAAGATCAGCGACCGCAAGAGGCTGGGTTCGAAGCAGAGAGAAGAAGAGATAAGATTTCACGCTTAGAGGGATAGGGATAGGGTTTTTGATATTGGGTTGGATCGGGTTTAAACTCGAACCGTTCTGGTCCAAATAATTTTATATTTGTTTGGAACCTGACCCAACCTATTTTTATTTTAAACCGATCCAACCCGACCCGATTCGGGTTGGGTTGGGTCGGGTTTGCGATTTTCTATTTATTGGCCCATCCCTAGTCATGCCAACTGTTGATATAACTTGTAGTTCCTCTAGTCCTTCAGTGAGAAGTTTGGTTGCTTTTTAGAACTCATCTTCAAGGCTAGCGGTGGATCCATAATTAGAAGTGAGCTAGGGTGACCAATAGCAAAGTCAACTACATCCACTCAATGTTTGGATTGGTATACTTAGCCACTTTCTCAATACGAGTAGTAAATAAAATTCTACTCTTCTTCTTATTTTTGGGAAACACAGTTTTAAATCACCCCAAGCATTTTTAGTCCACACGTTATCCATGACAATTATATATTTTCATTTCTCCAAAAATTTACGAAGTTCATCGGTTAATTCGACTTCATTTATGTCAGCTTTTTTAGGCTTAGTAAATTATCTTAGAATATCGCGAAGCACTTCCTTTCTACTATATTTTTTAGAAACAAATACCCATGCGCGATTGTAGAATTCAAACGCAACATCAGGATCAGTATATATCATTTTAACCAGTGATGTCTTTCCAAGACCTGCCATGCCAAATATTGATATAACCTTCATCAGGTCCTCCAGTGAGAAGTTTGGTTACTTTTTCGGCCTCATCTTTAAAGGCAGCGATGGATCCAAAATTATAAGTAAGCTAGGGCAGCCGTCGATGACCAATAGCAAAGTCAACTACGCCAATTCAAATTGAAGTCCCTGTGTTCGCCCTTCAAATTTTTTCACAGCATCCACGGACGGAGGAGAATTGTCAATTTTGTTGAATCCAGCACGGGAGGTTGCGCCCCATCTTCGAGTGCTGGATTCGCCACTGGATCTATGTTGAGGTTGGTATACTTAACCACTCTCTCAATACGAGTACTCGGTAAAATTCTACTCTTTTTCTTGTTTTCTGGAAATGTAGTTTTTAAATCATCCCAAGCCTTGTTAGTCTACACGTCATCCATGACAATTAAATATTTTCTTTTCTCCAAAAATTTACGAAGTTCATCAGCTAATTCGACTTCATACATGTCAGCTTTGATAGGCTTAGTAATTTGTCTTTGAATATCATGATGGTCTTCTTTTCTACTATATTTTTCAGAAAAAAATACATGTGCGCGATTGTAGAATTCGAACGCAACATCAGGATCGGTATATATCATTTTAACCATTATTGTCTTTCCAAGACCTGCCATGCAAACTATTGATATAACTTGTAGTTCCTCAGGTCCTTCAGTGAGAACTTTGGTTACTTTTTTACCCTCATCTTCAAAGGCAGCTGCGGATCTAGAATTAGAAGTCAGCTAGAGCGGCCGTCAATGACCAATAGCAAAGTCCACTGCACCCATTCAAATTGAAGTCCATGTATCTACCCTTCAAATTTCTCCATAGCAACCACCGATAGAGGAGAATTGTAAATTTTGGCGCATCCAGCACGCGAGGCCGCGCCTCATCGCTGTATGCTGGATCTGCCACTGGTTCAATGTTGGGGTTGGCATACTTAGCCACTTTCTCAATACGAGTAGTAAGTAAAATTCTACTCTTCTTATTTTCTGGAAATGCGGTTTTCAAATCATCCTCAACCTTGTTAGTCCACACGTCATCCATGACAATTGTAATACCCCGAACTTTATGTTACATATTTGGCCAATATGATTCATGCATGCTATTTACAATGTCATTTGCATCCATTCCCCTAATCACTTTCTTTTAAAAATGGTATATGTACTTATTGAGAGCATACGATCTTTATATGGTGTTACCCTTCGACTCCCCGACCTAGGTAATAAATTCTACATTGAGCGATAATAGAGAAGTTAGGTTAATCTAGATGTGGAAGATTGACTTGTTACGCAATTGAAACCTTGAAAGGGAGGAATTAGTATCGATAACGGTTATAGCTTTCCATTCGGTTGATCAAGGCTACATAAACTCTAAATGAGTAATTGACATATTTAGGACATGAAGCATGAAGTAACATGATCACTACATAGTAATATGGGTTTTATATGACGTTATAAATGTTGAGGTGCGAATTGTTGAAATTGACCGATAATCGGGTATCAATCGGGTAAGTAATTAAATGAACGGTTGAGGAAGTAATGCTATAAAATATTTTGAGATCTTAGGGCAAGTAAATTGGATTGTAAACACATTAAAATAAGCTAAGGATACTTGTTTTTTTAACCTGCAATGATTTGTACAAAATCAGATTGTAACTCCAAGAGGCCACCTCATGCTTAGTCATCTCCTAATTGTTGATTTATCCTTGTGATGGTAGATTCCTTCACCCTTAAGCTTTAGCAACATCTACCACCTCTTTAAGACTTCAAATATGTGACTTTTCATCCCCAAATTTTATACAAACCATCCAAGGATTGGTACAAGATCAGAAGGTAACTAGAAGGAGACACATCCTACTTAGCATGTGATGATTTGTCAAGTTAACATCAAATTCCTTCAACCTTAAGGCTTTTAGCACGTCTTCTAAAGCCATGCCATCTTATATTGGATAGACATATGTCTTATTAATCACATAAGAATCCAAATATGGGAAAGAAAGAGTCAAGGATGGCTGCAAGAAAACACCTCATGCTTGGACACCTCATGGTTAGGAGACTTGTCATTTTACCAGCCAATTCCTTCAACATTAAGGCTTCCACCACGTCTTCCAGCCCCTTGATACTTCATATAAGATAGGTATATGTCTTATTAGTCACATATGGATCCAAATATGATGAGGGAAAAGTCAAATAATGAAGCATGAAGCCACCTCTTGCTTAACACGTGTCAACCTGGCTGCGTGAAGTAGTTTATTAGTCCTTAAGCAAGATTCACGACCCCAACCCTTGAGAACTCTATAAATACCCCATATTAAGGTATTTTATCCCTCCAATTTATCCCCAAATGAACCCAAGTGAAAGAGAAAGCAAGATAACCAAAGAGAGTTAGAAAACAGAAAGCTGGAATTTCTGGACAGCTGAAGTTGTGCACTGTTTTGAGGTATATCTTTATTGTTTTTAAGAGTTTTATAACATATTGAATCTCTGTACTTTATTAAGATCATGTTGGAGGTGTTTTGATGATTTAATGATGACAAAAACCGGGGTACTTGGTCGCAAGAACCTGAGCTAACTCAATAAGGACAGAAAGTTATTGTTGCTGGATTTTAGTAATACAACTTTCAATCTGATGTTATACCTTGAAAGGAACGTATGTGTATCACTTTGAATGTTCTCATATAAGGGTTATAGGTATGAGAATAATTTTTAATAGGTTCAAAACTGACTGGTAGCATAATAAGTACTGGAAACCTAAGACCATCATCGGAAACTGCCTAGTTCATTGTGCTATAAAAAGGACTTAACTTGAGGCTGAAAAACCTGTACTTGTGTTGAATTCATGGCATGTTTATCTTCACATATATGTTATATAAATGTGTGTAAATTTTGGGAAGGATTGAATGTGATTAAGGGTGCGAAAAGATGTATGAAACGGGACATGGCTGCGACTAAAACGCGAAAATAGCTTCTGTCCAAATTGATAGTTTGCATAGTTTCTACCTTTGCATGTCCATTAATTATCTCCTAGGTATGGAAAATACATTTTAAGAAGTGCTAGGTAGTTAAACGACAATTGGATAACGTTGACGTTCATGATTGGACTTGAGAAATAGTGTGATTTATGGGACTAGTTTGCAATGCAATCGATAAACTTAAATTGTTAATGTCATCTAAAGTATTTTGGCATGAATGGACGTAGCATGGGATTGTGTTTAAAGAGAATTGATTTACACCTTGTAGAAGCGCACGCACACAAAAACAGAAAGGTAAGTAAAAATCCACTTGCAACTACAATGCAAGAATATAGAATTTGTGATACAGTAATGTTGAATATTTACATACTTTTAATAAGGAGCTCATTGTATATCATATGATATTATGATCATTGAGTGTGTGGTTTCAGAATACATTGACATCAATTTTGAGTAAGTATGTCATTCACGAGAATTTTCATGTGCATGTACGACATGTGTCCACGGTTGAAAATTTAGCATGCCCAACATGGTTTCAAATTGAGTTTTCCTCATAAATGTTTTGTTGACCACTATTAGGGCACCGAGGCATATGAGATATGCTTATATGATATATTTTGGTATTGCGAGTGATACTTCTTGGGTGATTGCAAAGGAAGATAAGAGATGGGCCTTTGTTGATCATGGGAGGGTGGACCACTCGACCGTGCCCTCATGATATTATGATTATTGGCGCTGTCTGGTGGGAGACTTCTTGGGTGATCATAGGGGCAGTTAGGAGATGGGCCTCTAGTATAAAAGATTAGAAATACATTTTCTAGTTAATACAGTCGTTACATGGATTCTTAGAAATTTAAGGCGTTTAACCAAGGTATATCTGGATTCATATAAAGATATGAAATTGACTTGGTCAAATAGAAGCAATTTGAACTCGAGAAAGGTAAATTGAATACGTTAAAAGAATTCGATCAGGTAAACATAATCAATTGTTATAAGAATTGGTGATTGAGATTAAAGGGATAGCTATGGTAAACTAGTGAATTCTAACACTCAAACCATCATATACAGAATCAATTCTTTTAGTATAATAAAAATAAAAAATCACAAAATAAAATTAATTCAAATTAAAGTTATGAATAATTTAACAAATGGTTAGATACAACTCCTCATTGGATCGATATATGAACTCTTAGGTCCACTTTATTACTTGTTACGATCC